TCTTATTTTATAAACTAAATTAATCTAAAATCCAAATAATAATTCTGCTTTATTGAAAACCATTCAAAAAATCTGAATATACAAACCAATTATCAAAACAGACAATTCGATTTTATGCAAATAATGAATAGTACTAATTGGTCTCTTATCTAAGTTAGCATAGCTATTAAATTTACCAAAATTCAGAAATTGGACCCATGAGTCCATGACAGCCCCAAGCAACTTTCAAAAATTTTATTTTTAGCCCTTCTTATTTTTTTTTTCTCAAATTTGGTCTAAGTTTTCTTTATAAAAAATTTTCAGCTTTATTTCTTTTATGTTTATTAAAACTTAGTTTGTTTTGATAAATAAATTTTCAACATTATGACATCTTTCTTTACAACTGTATTTTTACATATTCTTACTTAGATTTGCTATAAATACGCATGTATTCCTGGTTGTGTGTGTGATTGTGTGTTTGCATGTGACTTTGTCTCTCTGATTTTGTCGTATGTGTGGCAAAAACATAAAATACATTGTTATTTCTGTTTTTGCCACATTCTCTCTCTCTCTCTCATAGTCAACTTTCACAAAAATATTGCTTAAACTCCCTCCACAACACACGGCTTAAAACTCTCATTCTACGCATTTTCAAATCAATATTTCCCTGAGATCTAATAGCTAATTTACAAAAATCTAGAGATTTGCAGATTTTGCCAAGTGCCATATTGATTAGAAAAACATAGAGATCATACTAGAAAAGAAGCAATTTATTCATGTTCCCCATATTGAAATTTGGACATACAAAGAATGCAAGTGTTAAACAGTAAGGCGCTGCTAAAAAGAGTAAACAGAATGCGCTTACAAATAATAGTATTCCATAAACAGTATTACATCAAAAGTGTGACCAATAAGTAAGTCGTATTGGTTGTGTTGTGGTGTCTGTGTTGAATGAATCTGTATGTATACAGACACAAGAGAAGTAAGTTTGGGTAATTTGATGCCCCACCCATAAACTATTTTACCATGAATGAACTTTTACAGCTACAACCACCAACAGCACTTGGATTTTCAGCTACCTGCACATAAAAAAATAGAAACAAGCTGCTTACAAATCCTAATGTCAACTTGTAGCAGATTACTAATCTAATTTGTAGATTTTTTTTAAAAATTGTGAACTTAAAAAAAATGTACAATGTTGTAATAGGAAGAAATGAAAGTAGGATGATATGATAAAGAAATGAAGTTACCTGAAATCCAGCACGGATGAGCTCTTCAACATAATCAACAGTTGCACCTTTTACAAACCCTAATGATATTGTGTCAACCACCAATTTAACACCATCCCTCTCAAATATCCTATAAAAATTCAAAATAAATAGATATAAGAAGACTCTAGTCAACGTACATAACCTTAGATAAATCATGATTATTTAGCAAACCTGTCATCATTGTTGGGTTTCTCTTCGAGTGCAAAGTTGTATTGAAAACCAGAACAACCACCTGCTTCTATGCTTAATCGAAGCAGTTTCTCCTTAGCTTCATCAGCCTGCAACTCTTTCATCCTCTGCATGGTTTAAAACAACATCAAATAGACTCCCTGAAGTACATTCAATCAAACTTTATGAGAATTTTTTTATACAAGTTATTCAAGACCACAATCTTGTAGTACGAAAAGTTTACCTTAAATCTTATTTCATAAACTACTACGAGATCAAAGTGGAAGCTAGCTAGTTCAAGTGCAAACTATAATCCGAAAAATTATAAAAAAAACTTAAACATAACTAACAAAATCTCCCAAATGGTCCCACTTCTTTAATCAGCTTTCAGAATCTCTAATGAATACACAAAACTTGTTTTAAACCTTCTATCAAGTATCAAATACATAACTTTTTAATTTCCACCTTCCTTTGCAATTAAACTCTTAAAACATGTTTATGACGTCATCAGAAACATGTTTACAACATTCATACATCCCTTTTTCACTCAAAACTCAAACTAGGCATAAAAATTTCAGTTTTCAAATTCAAATTGAATGTAGAATTCTTATTTTGTCCCAACACCGGATTCCTTACTTGTCTTTAATTTTTTTTTTACTTTAACAAATCCGTGTTCTTTCCAGAAACTTGTTGAACGTTTCAATTTGAAAATTTGAAGGACTTGCAAATTAGTTCACCATTTGGCATAAAGTTGAATTTTTGTCAATTTTTTGTCAAACAATCAAACTTTGCAGTTTCACTCGCTTTTGAGATTCAAGCCTTATTACATGTTTATTACTTACATAAACTTGCTTCCAAATTTTGTTATCTTTCATAGTTTAAAAGATTTGCATGGAAACCTCGTTTTCAAACTTAGATTGAATGTCATGTACCTACTTCTTAGTTCTTACAATTTCATGTATTTTTTCTTGAACAAAACTTCTAGACGTGTTTTATAAACATGGTTAGTAAGTTTATGCATAAAATTCCCCAAAAATATCAAAGAATAAGATTTTGTAAAAGCTTAACTTATACAAACAAATATGAAAGACTGTTTGGATGATTAAAACACTTTCATATACCTTAAATTAACATATGTATCAACCTTCATGCTTTCATTTTGCTTTAATCTCAAATTTGTATGTTTTACACAAAGTCATGTTTTGCTTTCCTTTTCAGATTCGGCTTCGAAAACATGTTATCCAGCAAGATGCCAAGATCAACTGATATAATTCATACGCTATCAAAGTTCCTAAACCTATTACACCTACATATAGTTCTTATCTATATGAAAACAAAGTGTTAAAGTGTTAAACATGAAGAACATGCCTTGACTTTCTACAGAAGTCAAAGTTGTCCCTTTTATAGGAGGAGATTGCCAAACCATTTCAACTACCATACCTCCATTTTCACCATCACTTCACCTTTAAGTGGGCACTATGTAGCAGCTTCAAGCAATTGAGCCCATGAGGTTTCTAAACAACAAGCACATGCTTATATATGTACAACCACATGAACATGGTGTCATTCCAGATAGGATTTATAGTATATACATGATAGCCTAAAAAGCTAAAACATGTCAAGTTTTAAGCATTGCTATGGACTCTACTTGGATAGTCTTCCTCTCTCATCTTCAAAATCAATACGAATTCTTTAGGTTGTGGATGAATACTAGATTACCACATTCAATTTGACAACAAAAACAATTTTTCTACTTTAAAAATTAAAACTTGAACTTTAAATTTGGGATTCCCACCAGCAAGCAGATAACAAAATCGACCTCACAAAAACTATTTATCCAAACAAGATAGTTCCTTACTAGGTTATATCCGATTTCCTGGTCATCCAGCGAAGCAAATAAATTTTCTGCGTTCTAATTGGGTTGCATCTCGATTAGAGAATTTTTCAATATTTTAGACAATCACTACCATATTTCAGAAAAATTAATAGCATGGATAAATCGTTGATATGTAAAGTTCCTACAGATCAATATAAACAAACAAAGAGGATAAAGAAAGTACCCGGACGCAATTATCAGACAAGTAAACCGAATCTTGTACGGTAGGAGATGGAGAAGACGATTGAGGCTCTTTAGCGAGAACTGATGACGACGTCGAGCTAAGAAGTCTCGAGTTATGTCGAATTCGAGCTGCGAAAATTGGTGCCACCCGCTGAATCAACGACCTCGACGACTGCATAATTGGATTATTTCTCCTTAAATTACGTTCAGAGAAACATCAGAGGGCTTTGCGAATTGAAGAAGATTTAAGCGCAAATCGCTTGAATTTGACCGGAACGATAGGGACTCGATAAAGCTGGTGATGTTCGATTTTGTTTTCTCGCCCCGCAGTTGTTCGAAGAAATGCTTGTTTAGAAAATTGGTCGTTTGTATTGAAAGGCTGCGTGCCTCTTGTTAAACACGATCGCGTTGAGGCCACGAGCTCATGATCCACGTTAATATACTTTAAGCGTGTTTTTGAAGTTAAGAGAAAAGGACAGAAAATAAAATTAAAAAGAATTGTAAGTTGAAATCTCTTATTTAAACAAACAAAAATAAAATTAGAATGATTTGAAAGAGTCTATTTCGTGTCAAGTTAGGGCTTTGAAATTTGCAAAATATGGTATATGTTTGGGTTAAATAATAAACAAGTTGAAAAAGTTGACTATAACTTTACATATATAATTCATATCATATCGTGTCAATTGGTTTACTTAAATATATTGAAAATTTTTTACTCAAATTCGTTTATTTGTTGTATGTTTTTTGAGTTAGCGGATTTAGTTTTAAGTTTTAGACATTGTAAATGTATAATGTGGTGTGATGTTCAGACACTAAACGGATTAAAAGAGTTTGATCATAAACTTATATATTTAATTATTGTGGCTTGTCATGATAACTTGTTTACCTAAATGAGTTGAAATCTTTCATCAAAACACATTTATTTCGTCTTGGATCTGTAAGTCATGTCAGATTTTACCAGCTCTATTTATATTTAGGTTTTAACCGTCTTTTGATGACTTATTTGATAATGCATGTGTAAAATGTGTCTTGCTAATCTATTGACCCATTTAATACTCTAGACTACATTCGGTCCTTATTATTTAATATATTAACTATTTATTACTTAAAAGAAGACCAAAAACTATTTAAGAATCAAGCCGGCAACCACTAAGAAACTATTTAAGAATCAAGCCATGCATTTTGACATCTTTAGTCCTATTATATATAATTTTGAGATGATATATTACTCATTCAAAACGCAAGACTGCGTTTAGTCCTTAGTTATTAAAATCATTAAATTAGAAGAAAAACAATAGAGTTATCAAACATTTTATTCATGTTATTTTATAAATCAAGGGTTAGATTTTAAGATTTTGTGTCTTAACATGACCCAATATTTTATGGTTTTTTGTCATAAAATACTGCTAGAAGCAACTTCTATATATCAAAATGTCTCAATTTTATTTTGTTCATATAAAAATGTAATAAATAAAGTTTGTATGTTATAGTTGAAATAAAATTTTGTAAAAACTAAAAAGAGAAGCAAAAGTCAAAATGGACTCAAACCCTCCCTGAAACCATCTCTAGGGCCAGGTTCATCTTCGGATACCAAACAGGGATACGTTCATATCTTTTATTTATTGATTTGTGATACATCCTTCTGATCCCCAACAAAATAATCAAATCCCCAAATATCACTAAAACTAGGGTTTCTCGGTTCTGAATAAAATTTCAATGGGTTCTATTGTGAAATCAGAGGAGGAATGGCGTGCAGTTCTCTCCCCTGAACAGTTCCGCATCCTTCGCAACAAAGGAACCGAGTAAGTATACTACTTGATCCATTGAATTCTTTCTATATTAGATGTTCAGATCCCTAAACAGCAATAATGCGTTATCAATTTCTGTAGGAGAACTGATCATTTAAAGTATTGCACTTAAATTTAACAAGAATTTGGTTGCATTTCGGTAACATGTCTACACTCCACAGTCGACTTAACATTATTGCATTCTTAGCAAACGGTTTTGATTAATTATCTCGCCTGTGATTACTGATTACGAAAGATCATCAACTTGACTCCAAAATTCTAATTTGGGGCTTCTCTACTTCATACATTCTACAATCTCCATAACCTTAGTTGCAATTTAGCAGATAATTTTGTATAATTTTATCAGTTGCATTTCTGAGAATTGGTCGAAATGACTCCAAATCCAATCTAGGGTTTCTCTATTGCTTATGGTGATCAGCAGATTTGGAAATTAGAGATGCATATACATACTTTTCAAAATAACAGTAAACTAATGTCAGTTTTGGATTGAGCTGATTGTTTGTATCTCAAACTTTGAAATGGATGCATAAGATAGTTCAAGTCTTACATTTGTTGGTTAAACATGTGTTGCAGTCTTGACTACCCTTCTTATTGATCTTAATTGATCTTGGAAATATATCTTATATAGCTTTGATTGCCTTTGAACTCCAAAAGTCTTTAGGCCTTGTTCTTTGCCAGACTTTAAGTCGAAAAGAAACACCCATCTGTAGCTTAGCAGTTAAGTCTATTAAGTAAAAAAGGAAACAACACCCTCTAGAGTGTAGGATATGATTGAAAGAGACAATATGGTAATTTTCTTGAAATTTTGGGTTTTGTTTACAGGCCAAAAGGCACAGGTGAATATGATAAATTTTTTGTTGATGGGACATACACATGTGCTGGTTGTGGAACACCGCTCTATAAATCAACCACCAAATTCAACTCTGGTTGTGGTTGGCCTGCTTTCTATGAGGGTCTCCCTGGAGCAATCACCCGCACTGTGAGACTCTTTACTCTTTAAAAAGTTTTGAATTTTTGTGTCATTGACACAAGTATCAGTCTTTTTTAAAAAGTTTTAAAATTTGTTAATTTTTCAGCTGGACCCAGATGGTAGGAGGACTGAAATTACTTGTACAGCTTGTGGAGGGCATTTAGGTCATGTGTTTAAAGGTGAGGGATTCAAGACACCTACAGATGAAAGACATTGTGTTAATAGTATCTCCATCAAGTTTGCCTCGGAATCATAATGGCAAATAGTGATCCTTTTTAGGGTTTGGCTTGCTTTGTGTTTTTGTATGTGGAAAACTGTTATGGCTTCTTAAATTGCTTGATGCGAAAAGCTTTGTAATAATTTTAAATACAATAGTTTTGTCAACATGGTTGTATCATATATGTGTTTTTTAAGGCTTTCATTTTGGCATACAAATTATTAACTTTTAACTTTAAACAATGATGGTATTTTATGTTGGAAAACAATGGGAAAATGATAATGATATGGATATTCACTATTCATCATCAAAGACAGATTATCAAACAAGATAAATCTTTTAATCTTCGAGGCATATGCATACAACAAACCCAGTCGATAAGGATGTTAGGTTTGTTGTTCGTGATGATATAATCCTGCCGCTAATGAAAAAAGCAGATTCCAAAAGCATGAACAATTAGTAAATCCCAGGCAACAAACTGCTAAAATCTTAATTCATTTTCTTTTTAACATGACAATGTGTCGAGATTAAGAGGGTGCTTGGGATTTAATCTCAAAACAATTTATTGGCTTTTTGAAAATTCAATAAGTCAAAAAAGTATTTGACAAACAAAAAATGATTTTTAAAACAACTTCTTCTTAACCCTTCAAAAACTTTCTAAAACTTTTTATGGCTTTTTGAGTCGTAAAAATCAATATTATCTCAAAAAAACCCTTAAGCTAAGACAAACATATTTTTTAAAAAACAACTTATTGATTTTATCTCACTATAAAAACTAATCAAAACATTTTCTTAAAAATAATTTTTTCTACCCTCATAAGTCATTAAGTCTTTTTTTCTAAAAGTCATTTTGAACGATAGGAAGATTTGAAGACAGATAATATGGAATGAAACTTGAGTTTGGAAAAAAAAAACAACGAAATTTGCAAACACGCAAGAATAGTTAGGTTGCGTTTAGTTACGGAAAAACAGTTTTCATTTTCCGTTTTTTGTTTTCCCTTTCAAGTTTTCGTTTTTCGTTTATAGTTTTCATTGGAAAATTTAGAAAACGCGTTCAGTTAAAACTTATTCATTTTTCATTTTCAGTTTTAGAAAATTAGAAAACGCGTTTAGATGTGTATATTTCTATCGGTTTTCATTTTTAGAAAACGGTAGCGGTGGTAGGGTGAGGGGGGGGGGCAGTGGTGGTGTCGATGATGGAGACGGTGGTGGTGGTGGCGACGGCAGTGGGGTGGCAGCGGTAGTGGTGGTGGCGGAAATTGTGGCAGTGGTGGTGATGACGGCGACGGTGGTGTTGCTGGTGATGGGGTAGTAGTGGTGGTGATGGTAGGTCGGTGATTGTGGTAGTGGTGTTGGGTGGGTGGGTGAGTGTGTAGGTGTATGTGTGTATTTGTGGGGGTGGGTGTGTGTGTGTGTTTGTGGGTGGGGTGGGGGTGAGTGTGTGTGTTTGTGGGGGTGGGTGTGTGTATGTGTGTTTGTGGGGGTGATGGGTGTGTATTTGTGGGTGTGTGTGTGTGTATTTGTGGATGTGGAGGTGGGGGTGGGTGTGTGTGTGTTTGTGGGTGTGGGTGAGGGTGGGGGTGGGGGTGAGTGTGTGTGTAGGAGTGGGTGTTTGTATGTGTGTTTGTGGGTGTGTGTGTGTGTGTGTGTGTGTGTGTGTGTGTGTTTGTATGGGTGGGGGTGGGGGATGTGTGTGTGTGTTTGTGGGGGTGGGCTTGGGAGGGGGTGGGTGTGTGTGTGTGTGTTTGTATGGGTGGGGGTGGGGGATGTGTGTGTGTGTTTGTGGGGGTGGGCTTGGGAGTGGGTGGGTGTGTGTGTGTGTGTGTGTGTGGGCGTGGGTGTGTGTGTGTGTGTGTGTGTGTTTGTGGGGGTGGGCTTGGGAGTGGGTGGGTGTGGGTAGGTAGGAGTGTGGTGAGTTGGGGGTGTTAATGTGGGGGTAGGTAGAGGTGGGAGTGGGGGTGTAGTTATATTTTAGAAAAATTTTGGATTAGAAAAATATGGAAAACAATGATTATCAGTTTTCCAAAAATTTCCAACTTCTTTGTAATTTTAGAAAACAGAAAATTTTCATTTTCCGAGAAAAATTTAGAAAAATAGACGAACTAAACGCGTTTTCAAAATTCTCATTTTTCTTGGAAATTTTTTCCGGAAAACGGTTCATTTTTCCGCAACTAAACGCACCCTTAGGTTGCGTTTAGTTACGGAAAAACAATTTTCATTTTCCGTTTTTTGTTTTCCCTTTTCAATTTTCGTTTTCCGTTTTCATTTTTCATTGAAAAATTTAGAAAACGCGTTTAGTTAAACTTATTCATTTTTCATTTTCAGTTTTAGAAAATTAGAAAACGTGTTTAGATGTGTATTTTTCTATCGGTTTTCATTTTTAGAAAACGGTAGCGGTGGTAAGGTGTGGGTGGGGGCAGTGACGGTAGCGGGTCGGCGGCGGCGGTGGTGATGACAGGCGATGGTGGTGGCGGCCTCAATTATGTCAGTGATGGTGATGGCGGCGGTAGCGGTGGTGGTGGTGCTAGTGACGGGTTAGTGGTGGTGGTGATGGTGATGGTAGGTCGGTGATTGTGGTGTGGTGTTGGGTGGGTGGGGGTGCGAGTGTGTGTTTGTGTGTGTGTATGTGGGGGTAGGTGTGGGTTTGTGTGTGTGTGGGTGTGTGTGTCTGTGAGGGTGTGTGTGTCTGTGAGGGTGGGGGTGGGGGTAGGTGTGGGTGTGTGTGTGTCTGTGAGGGTGGGGGTGGGGGTAGGTGTGGGTTTGTGTGTTTGTGGGGGTGTGGGTGGGTATGTGTGTGAGTGTGTTTGTGTGTGTATGGATGCGTTGGCGGGTATGTATGTGTGTGTGTGTGTTTGTGGGTGGGTATGTATGTGTGTGTGTTTGTAGGTGTGTGTGTGTGGGTGGGTATGTATGTGTGTGTGTGTGTGGGTGGGTATGTATGTGTGTGTGTGTGTTTGTGGGTTGGTGTGTGTGTGTGCGGGTGTGTGTGTGGGGGGGGGGTGGGTGTTAAGGTGGGGGTAGGTAGAGGTGGATGGGGTGGGAGTGGGTGTATGTTTATATTTTCGAAAATTTTGGAATTAGAAAAATGTGGAAAACATGATTATCAGTTTTCCAAAAATTTTCCAACTTCTTTGTAATTTTAGAAAACGGAAAATTTTCATTTTCCGTGAAAAATTTAGAAAAATAGACGAACTAAACGCGTTTTCAAAATTCTCATTTTTCTTGAAATTTTTTTCCGGAAAACGGCCCATTTTTCCGCAACTAAACGCACCCTTAACTTTTTTGTATCGGAAACAATCTCAGCCTTATTTTATATTCAACAATAGAATAGTAAAAATATGAAAACAAATAGCCCAAAGCCTAAAGCGATTGTAATTAGGGCTTTTGGGCTCTTTTCTATTGAAAGTTTGTGGGCCCTTTTAATTGATTAGGGCTTTAAAGCCTACTAGCCATCAAACGCCTATTCGCCTTTAGCTTCGATTCCATTGTCGCCGGCGACGTCTCTCCGTCTCGCTTTCTGATCTTCCACAGTTAACGGGTAAGCTTTCTTTTTCAACACCTACCTCATATTTCTAGTTTCTTGTTCGATCAAGCCTTTATTTCAATTTTTTTGAGACCGATAAGAAATAGAGTATACGAATAAGTAGATTTTGTCTGGGAAGATGGTTAGCGCTACATCCTTCCAATTGCATGTTCAAAATTGGCAAATGGGATTAAAATGAATTACTCTTATACAGATGCTTTTGGTTTCAGATAGAGAACTTGACAATATTTCAGTCTATAATGAATGCTTTTAGTATAAAAATTACAAACCGAATGATGAGATTTCAGTATGCATGTGTCTTATAGTTCCCGATCATCATCTTGCCGATGCAGGAGTGCTTAGTTGAATCATTATTTGGAAAATATGCGACTTCAGAGCCTTCATTACAGTTCAACCTGGTTGCAACTCAATTCCTCCGATAGAGTACTCAACTCTTCAATTTACACATCACCCAGGAAGCAGAAGTTTGTGGCAGCATCTTCATCTAGCTCAAGTACGTTTATTTCCACTATTTTCCCTACTCATATATCTGATCATATTCATGTTTGTGAGTAGATGTGAATACACACATAAACATGCAACTAGATACATGTTTGTTTCTCTTGATTTGCACCTCAATATAGAAAGTTTTTTTTTTTTTTTTTTTTTTTGGTGATAGAACCTCAACAACTATCAATCAAGTGCAATGTGAAGTTTCGCCCTTGCATTGATATACATAAGGTTTGTAATTCTTGATATGTTCTTTTTTTGTTATACTTGTTGTCATCTTTACATTTGTGTATCTTAGTGCTTCATGTGATGTTTTCAGGGGAAAGTAAAGCAAATTGTCGGATCTACCCTTTCAGACTTAAAGGAAAGTGATTCAAGTCTAGTAACCAATTTTGAATCAGATAAATCAGCTGCAGAATATGCCACCCTTTACAAAGAAGATGGATTACAAGGAGGTCATGTAATCATGCTTGGAGCTGACCCTTTGAGCAATAAATCAGCCATTGAAGCACTACACGCTTACCCTGGTAAAACACTTGTCATTTCTTTTACCTTTTTTATACATTGTTGATGTTTGATAATATGTCTGAACTTACAGATTGTTGATTTGAGGAGTAGGTGGTTTGCAAGTAGGAGGTGGTATTAATTCAGGAAATGCCTTGAGTTACATAGAGAAAGGAGCCAGCCACATCATCATCACATCCGTATGTTTTTCTCTTCCCATAATTCAATTTTCAAAAAATTCCAAAAAAAAAATCTAAAAACTTAATTGCAGTATGTATTCAACAATGGAAAAATGGATCTTGAGAGGCTTAAAGGACTTGTTGACATTGTTGGAAAAGAAAGGCTTGTCTTGGACCTTAGTTGCAGGAAGAAGGTATTTGTTATTCATTATTAGTTCATTACTATCTTTTCTTATTATAAATTTATTTAATTATTTAATAATAATATTATTATTATTTCAGGATGGTAGATATGCGATTGTGACAGATAGATGGCAGAAATTTAGCGATGTGTTTCTTGATGAGATGACATTGAATTTTCTTTCGGCTTATGCTGATGAGTTTCTTGTACATGGTGTTGATGTTGAAGGGAAAAAGTAGGTTGCTGTTATTGTTACACGTTTTTTTTTTTATTTATTAACGACCAATTTGTTGAATTTGTGTTACTTATTTATTTATTGCAGATTGGGAATCGATGAAGAGCTTGTAACACTGCTTGGGAAATACTCACCAGTGAGTAGAAAGAAGAAACTATTTAATCTTAAAATGCTTTTATGATTCAGAAAATTACAATGAATAATTAAATTATATAATAATGTTTAATTAATGGTTTGATGGTTCAGATTCCAGTTACATATGCTGGTGGGGGTGACAGTGATGGAGGATTTGGAGAGGATAAAAGTAGCAGGAATGGGACGTGTGGATGTTACAGTGGGGAGTGCTTTGGATATTTTTGGTGGTGATTTGGGTTATAAGGATGTTGTAGCTTGGCATTCCCAGCAAGAGGCACTCACAGTGTAGTTTCTTTTGTGTATTTTTTTTTAATCGAAGAATAGAGGATGCCGATTTTGAATGCGACTCTCTCTGTTGTAGTTGTAACTCAATATATTAATAATTTGCATGACATTTGAAACGTTATTTGGTGGGTTGAATTTGATGAAATTGAAATACAGTAAAACCCGACTTAAAAAGTCCAAGTGTTGAAAACTGAATCAGTTTCGGAATTGTCAAATGACAAAGATGCGGAAAGTTAAATACTTGTAAAGACTCAAAAGTTGTTTCATATTCATCTTCATTGAATTGTGATTACAAATGATTTAAAGTGCTATGAAACTTCTAAAGGTGCTCTAAGCACTCTAAAAATGCTCTTAGATGTTACGAAGTAAAAGGCTCTCAAATTCTCTTTAGAAAATTGTGGAGGTGAATGAGCAATCGAGCAACTAGGGAATGAGCAACTTATAATGAGTGTAAAGGGCCTTATTTATAAGACTTGGAAAAACCCATAATGAGTGTAAAGGGCCTTATTTAATAGACTTGGAAAAACCCATGACATGGTTTAACCAATTAGGTGTTGACATGTCATCATGAGTCATCAAATGACATATTGTCTTACTTAACAGAGTATGGATGAAATATTCCAATTCCGTTAGGTTTCCGTTAAAATTTCCATCCAACTCTTGAGTCTTGAATTTACTTGAGCATTTTTTATTATGTTGTGTTAATCATAACATGCTAGTCATTAGAAAGCTCTTTTTGTCCAAAAAGCTTTGTTGGTCCTGAACCCTGAAAGCTTTGTTTGTCTAGAAAGCTTTGGTAGACTTGAAAGTTCTGCTTCATATAAGTCTTCAACCATTTAGACATTCTTTAAACCTGAAATATTCTGATAATGTTTGTTAGGCAAATATAAATAAATTCTCAACTTATTTCAAGTGATAATCACATAAAAATATTTCCAACATAATTTAATATACAATTTGATCAATTTTTGTAACGAAAATATTTCTTAAGAATTATCAATAAAATGGGAGAGTAACAAACTTTTGCATTTATACACATCTAGTCATATATTGTTTTTAGACATATTTTGACCAATCTTCCATACCCTACTGAATGGCAAGAGCCCTGATGAGGTAACAATCGTTAGGCTCATGCTTATGGACAAACGACAAGCTGACAACCCTAAAGAACACCTTCACACGCCCAGTGGCGAGTCTAGAACGTAAAACAACATGGTTCGCCTTTTAAATGAAACCGATAGAAAATGAAAGAAAAAAAAAACTAGTTACAGGTCCGGGTCGGGTCGAGTCGGGTCGTATAAACAATAACATGTTGTGGAAACTTATAGTTGAGGTTGAAAATGTCGATTTTTCAAGCAATCTCTTCTAAATTCTTATTTCACAATTCGTAATTCACAAACAACAATCGAAATATCGAATAATCAAACAATTGAACAATTGAACAACAATCAAATCATCAATTCATATTGAAAAAAAAAACCTAGTATAAAATCATAAATTTATCAAAATTTATGTTGTGGAATCATTGAATGATTCACAAATCACACATCAATATTCAGTATTAGTAAAAAGAAAAGAAAAAAAACTACCGTGTAATCGATTTCTCATATTCATATTTCATTATTAATAAATATTTAATATTAATAATATTAGCATAGAGGAAGAACGATTTAATGAAACAGTCAGTTCAAAAAAAAAAAACTTACATTTAATGAAATTTGATTTGTGAATCATGAATGGTTGATGACTAATGAATTATGAATTGATTGAAGTCTTGCCCTTGGAGTCGTTGTTTGTCTGTTGAGCCGTTATTCTAAGTAATCACCTTTATCTTTTATTTATTTTTTAATTTAATTTTGTATTGGGCTATACTTATTCAATTATACCTAACATTTTGGGCTATTAAACAAAATATGGGCTTTAAAATCTTATTTTTATATCTTTTTTGTTTACCAATATTATTAGGTAGTTCATTTAAAATATTTTAGATAGGTCATCTTATTTTATTCTATATAAGCTATTATAAAAAAAAGAAAAAAAGACGGGTCAAGTGACCTACCTTCCATATATGATATATGTGGCCTTGCCACTGCACATGCCTTCTCAAGGTGAGGGCCCGATGCTAAATGGATGCAATCGATGCCAACAATTGAGCCATACTCGTTTTAAACTATCAAGCTCCTATACCAACTGAATCACTAAAGTCGAGGGTCTCAAGTAAGGACAGTAAGAATATGGCTAAGGCTAACGTTGTGTGTAACAATTCAGAAATCCTAATTGAAGGTTATTATTACACGTTTGATTTAAATGAATGATTTTTTAGTTGCATACTAAGCTATTTTATCAAATCGTTCATTGTATTATATGAAATTGTATAGTCGCCTAACATTAATTAACTAGTACAATCATTTACGCCATAAATTTTTGAACATGATTTAACCAATTTGTACAAATAACTACTTAATTCTAACATCTTCAAACAAGTTATGCAAAAACAAATTGAATCATGAGAATCTCAATTGCTTGTTGGTATATCCAAGTAGTATATTTCCAACCCGTAAGCTATCTTTTTCATTTTTTTTATGGAAACTTGGACAAAACTGCAATAAATAAAAACATACAAACTCTTAGTTCTCATTGAAAGAAATCAAATTTTCGAACTAACTTCAAAATTTTGAAATAGTTCTTAGTAAGATTTCCGAACTAGTTTTTGGTAACATTTTTGAACTCGTCCTTGATAACATTTTCGAACTCGTTCTTGGTAATATTTTCAAATTGCATCTTTAGAAGATTATTGAACAAAAGGGTATGCACATAATACCTTGTTTATGTACAACCCAAAATCAACCTTTTATATAAGAATTCCATTTTTAGTATTTAAAAAATAATTCTACATTTTTGGAAAACCATTTTTGAAATCCATAGATAATTTTTGAAATTTCATTTCAGATGGACCATGTAAAATTTGGTTTGGAAAAAGAGTCACAGATGTCAATAGTCCTGGAAAAACATGTCGTGTTGTGTCTGATTTGCGTCTAGTTGAAACATTGAACGGGTTAAGAGAGCTTGACCCTAACCCGACCCGTTTATCATGTTGTGTCGAGTCAACCTATTTATTTTCGTGTCAGGTTGCGAATCAATGTTAGAAATAGTAAATATGTTTCATGTCAGGTTGAAATTATTTAACAAGTTGAAAGAGTAGGAGTTGGAAGGCAAAAAAGAAAAAAAAAATGAAAAACAGGAAAGAATAGGAGTTGGGAGGCGAAAAGACGAAATTCATAGTATATAAAGGATACAGTGGAAAGTTGGAGTTGGGAGTGCAAAGTTTCAAGTTCGTGAGAAGGAGGGAGTAGTCGAGTGGACCTGTAGAGTATTGGAGAGAAACGAAATTCAAAAAATAAAATTTTGACCTAGGTGTTTAAGTCATTCCACGTTACAAAGCTACCAAACCTAAATTTTCTTGTATATAAGATTTTGGTTTTGGTCTGTCCAATTTATCTAAATAATTAAAAAAAATATGTATATAAATGAATATGTAATTTTCGAGGTGAAATTCTCAATCTTTAACATGTATAATTCCTATGTCATGACGTATCCACCCGTATAATTAAACCGGATTGGAATCAATTACTCAAAGCGGTTTATTTTATATCATGTTACTTCCTCTGTCAGTTTTTGCCATTTTTAACAAGGAAATTGTCAAACAAATCTCAATATTTTCAGAAAAGTTTCACTTTAGTCCAAAAAAATAATTTTTTAACATAAAAGTCACGATTATTTCATTTTGGTTCAAATTAACAAAAAAATATTTTTTTAACAGGAAATGACATATTATTATGTAAAATCAAATAATCGAAACTTTTCTATTCAAATTTTTTTTTGGAACTAAAGTAAAACTTTTTTAAAAATATTAGGTATTTTGTGATAATTTTCCTTAACATCGATACCTCTTGTTTTGTTATATTTGTTCAAGAAAAGATCGCTGATGGTAGCGGTTGTAGTTTGTCGACGTTTATTTTATTGGAATGAGTGGAAGATGAAGGCCAAAGTAACTACCATCAGACTCACCACTACTAACTGAAATTCAAACACACCCTCTAACTCCAAGGCAACAATGTCTCGATCAATTTACCCTTCTCCTGTAACCCTAGTCCCCAAATCAATGGCCACCGAAAGACCACCATCATCCGTCGTCGCAACAAGAAGAACCACCGCTGCTAACAATATGTCTGCTCTTGAAGCTCGAGTATCTCTTATATTCGCTCTCGCCTCCCAAACTACTTCCGTCTCTCAACGACGTAGATGTCTTCAATTCCCCCCTATTCTTTACACTTTCCTATTTTGATTATACTCGGTAATTTCATACCGTAAGTTTAATGAATTTGTTGTAGTTTTGGCGGATTTGGCGACAGAGACGGCCAAATATGTGTTTCCGAAGAGGTTCGAGAGTCGGAATTTGGAAGAAGCTTTGATGTCAGGTTTGTGTAATCTAAAGGAACCAATTTAGACGTTTTTCTTCTTCTTTTCTTACTTCAGGGTTTCTATTTCTGTAATTTTGTGTTTCCAGTTCCCGACCTGGAAACCGTGAGGTTCAAAGTTTTGACCAGAAACGATCAGTATGAGATCAGAGAACTAGAGGTATTGCTTAATCTCCTTATAAACAAGTTTTTTTTTTTTGTTTTTTTTTTTTTTTTTCATGTTCCTCCTGGTAACTCTGATTTTGGCTTTCAATCAGCCTTACTTTGTAGCTGAGACTACAATGCCTGGAAAATATGGATTCGATCTAAATGGTGCATCTCAATCATTCAATGTACTAGCTGAATACCTATTTGGTAAGGTATTCAATCTCTCCTTACAGATTTCTTGATACAAATAAACTTTAGGAACATCAACAATTCAACATACTACAATACAATTATCTTTTTATACTGTTCTTGATCCGTATATGTTCTTCCAGAATACATTAAACGAAACAATGGAGATGACAACCCCTGTTCTTACACGAAAAATCCAATCTGAAGGTGTGGCAATGGATATGACTACCCCTGTGATAACAAAGAAGGTAGGTCCATACCTCCATTACAATTTACATGTTTATAGAGTTTATATATAGAATCTTCTCTTATCTTTGTTATTTACCATTTTCGGGTAATATTCAGCTGGAAGATGAAGATAAATGGAAGATGTCATTTGTGATGCCTTCAAAATATGGTTCCAAGTTGCCACTGCCCAAAAACTCTGCTGTAACTATCAAAGAGGTGCCAGGTAGAACTGTGGCTGTTGTTGCCTTTTCAGGTAAGTGATTCCTTTCATTGATTATATTCTAAAAGAAAGACGAAATTAGAGCCTATTTTGATTAAAAGAAAATGTACATTTATGAAAAATATGGCATTCTGAAATCTCAATTCAGGGTTTGTGAGTGATGAAGATGTTATACGCCGGGAATCAAGACTCAGGAACAGCCTAAAGAATGATAGTCAATACAAAGTAAAAAGCGGGGCGTCGGTGGAGGTTGCACAGGTAATTAAACTATATAAACGCATCTTGAAAGAATAAAAAATAATAATTAATAAGAAGTGTTGTGTATTATTTTCAGTATAACCCACCATTTACACTTCCATTTACACGGCGGAATGAGATTTCCCTAGAAGTGGAAAGGAAACAAGAGTAGCAAGCACACAGATGTATCATGTATGTCTTTCCTGATTCCTATGTACACAGACACAAGTAGTTAATTACATGTTGATATGCATAGTATGATAAGTTGTGTTGATATATAACTTATATGTTGGTTGTATATACCTTATAGAATTTTGCTGTTTGCCTTCACATGAAGGACATCAAATAAATCACGTGATTGATTAGACGTTTAATTTGATGTCAGTTTTAATATTCTGAAATTTTGCAATACCTGTTGAGGAGGAGGTTGTAATTTGTAAGCATCTTAATTCACTTTAGTCGACTTTCCACTTGTTTGGTCTGTTTCATCTTTAACTATGATTATAAATGTTGGCCATTTGATCCATTAGAAATATAAACTAGACAAAATTTTAAAAATGGTCCCTGTGGTTTCCGAAAAGTTGCAACTTTGGTGCTTTTTTGCCTTCCATTAGTAAAATTGGATCAAGTATACATGAAATGACAAATTTACCCCTTTTATAAAAGTGAACACACCCTCACCCCTTTACTCTATCCTCTTATCCCCTTATGAATGGTGGCTAAAGGTGGCGGTGACTGAAGGCAATGATGGTGGTGGTGGTGGTCAGGCTGAAGGAGGTGATAGTGGTGGTGGTGGTCAAAAAGGGACCAACTTGCCACTTTTTGAAAAGCACAGGAACCAATTATGAAATTTTAATAAGGACATATTACTCATTTTTAAGAAAGTAACATCAACAGTTAGACAAAATGTCATGCCATTTTTTGAAACAGCATGGACATTTTGAAGGGTTTCTGAAAGTTAGTCTCACTTTGACACTTTTTGGAAACCATAGGACCATTTTTGAAATTTTGTCTATAAAACTAGGGAATCTGACTTATTAAGGTAATTAACTTTTTGGTTTGTTCATCTGGATAACTATTTTATTTATTATTTTTTTTGTACACATCTATGTAACAAACTTGTTGAAGTGTTCACATATGACCATTATGACCGGCTATAGCAGGTTACATCTGGTCATAATGATCATATGTTAACACTTTCAACAAGTTCGTTACCTAAATGTATACACAAAAAGAAGTTACCCAAATATGAACAAAACGAAAAGGTAATTATCCCGATAAATCAATTTTCATTTTTATTAAGATAATCGATCATAATGTTTGCAATATTAATATATTAAGTTAAATTTCCTTAAAACAATATTTATGACAATTTATGAGCATTTATATCGGTCACGCCATGTTGGGAGTCGTTTTTGGTCACAACATGGCGGTGCCTTAGCACTAGCCGACTTATTATTGTCTACGATTAATGCTAATCGGAGTCGGTCATAGGGCGGTCATTGGTGGTCTAGGCGGTCTAACCCGGTCAAAAAGTCAAACAGTCAAAATTTTCAAAAAAAGTCCTGTAACATCCAAAAATATCAAAAAGAAAATAAAATAAAATCATTTTTAATTAAAGAGAAATCATTGTTTTCAATCAACCCAAATCATAAGAACCCAAGATCAAATACAAATGTTCCAAAATCAATATATCATAATATCTACAAAACAAGTCACCGAAGGACGTGTACGATCACGCCTTTGCTTTTCCCCGATCATCTGAAGTACCTGAAACATAAAACGTAAACTGTAAGCCAAAGCTTAATAAGTTCCCCAATGTACCACACACAACCATACATATAGCATCATGCATATATGAGACTTCAGCCTGATTGGACCGTTTCGCAGTGCCTGCAACCCTATCTGGACCGCTCTCGGAGCCTTCAGCATGACCGGACCGCCTCGCAGGGCCTACAGCCTATCTGGACTGCTCTCCGAGCCTTCAGCATGACTGCAACGCCTCACAATGCCTACAGTCTATCCGGATCGTCCCGGGTATCTTTGCCTTCAGATAAAAGCTACTTCTATAAAACGATGATGTGTTTTTTTCCTGTCAAATCTTGAGGTTATTTATTTATTTATTTATTTTTATCAAAGTAGTGAATTTTAAAAAGATATTTACCAAAATGGTCTGGTACAAAAAAAAGTTACCCAAATGTGTACAAAAAAAGTTTGTTGCCTAGATATTTACAAAAAAAGTTTAAAAAGATAGTAATATGCTACAACCAATCATAATAGTCATATGTGAACATTTCCAAAAAGTTTTTTACATAGATGTATAAAAAAAAATAGTTACCCGTATGTAAACAAACTG